AGTCGTCAAAAGCCATGTAATCCGTGGGTAAAATACCAAACATGCCGAAAATCATGGTAATGCAGCAAAGTCCATGGCAGGTGAAACTACAACCCATCCTAGGTTTGAGCCGCTCGTGGCGCTTTACGCATCTGGCAGCTGCCTTATCCGGAGATGGAAGCAGAAGAGGTGGCCAGATCGCGTAGCCCGAAACCAACCACCCAGGCCAGATCACTTCGACCCAGCCCAGGCATCCGCCGCACCAAGCTCTGCCAATCTCTCCCCAGCCCATGAGAACTAGTTTACCTGGAAAGCTCGCTGCAGCGTGTGCAGTGATGACAAGGAGACATGATCAAAATCCACACGCGGAGTCCAAGAGGAAAAGCGCACCCAGACCTTCCCCGTCGTCGTCCGCGGCTGCCTAAGCTGCCTACGTGCTTGCATGACACAGCTCACCGGCTTGCCACCCACACCGCACGGACGCCAGCCCTTCTGTATGTCACTTCTTGACGCCGAAGATTGAACCACCAAGCCGTCCCCTAAAAGCAAGGCCAGCTCCTCCAACTGCCCCAAACTCAAGCACCGCAGCCGCATACCCGGCATGTTCAAATTCACAAACAGCGGGGCCAGAAAGGCTCTCAAGGCGATCCGTACCTGAGTTGCCCAAAGAAGAAAACCCAGTAGCTGAGCAGGTTTCATGCGAGGAACTCGACGAGGATGCAGGCCCCACCAAGCCAATTCTCTGAGTACTTTATCCTGCTTCTTTTCCGGCAAGGCGGCCCAGAACCCAGAGCGCAAGGACAGCGGCCAACCCAAGTACGAAAGGTCGTATCCCAAGGCCACGTTTCTCCAGGACAACGGCACCGCCAGGATTTGCAGGATGGCAAGCACCAGCACAACTAGCATGGCAAACGCATTGCGCGGCAACAGCATCAGATCATCGTCCACGTAAACAGCACCAAAATGACGATGTCGAACCAAGAAGTGTATCACTCTCAACAATAAGGCAGATAGCCTGGACCACCAATACGCCGACCATGCCGCTCCAAAGTGGTTCACGACGTAGGCATAAAATTCCCCGTCCAAGGAAAACACTGAGAAGCCTACGTCTTCAGCAGCAGTTCTGGTCGACTTGTGGGCCCTTTGGATATCTATACTAGATAGAATCCACGCCGAGAAGTCCACGTGCACACCACTCCAAGCCGCGAACCGATTCAACGCTGCAGTGAACAGGAATAGCGAGGGCACCTCGGCCCTCTCATTGAAGCGTGCCGCCGGGCTGGCACCACTGGCTCGGGAGTCGCCAATGAGCCGATCTTCTTTCCCAACACAACTTACAACCCGGAGCTTGCCTACTGCGACAGAACCGTCAGGAAATCGCTGCTTAACCGCCTCCATGCCCCCTTCAATATGCACCATGTGGCCAGCATCCAGCTCCTTGACTATAAGGGTTTAAGACAGGGCCTTAATCATTGGAGTAGTATTTTAAATTAGAGTATATTACACTATATTTATGATAAGGAACCCCAAAACTATTTAGGCCCCTATCGCATCCCTAGTTCCCCATCAAGGGTTTCGGCTTCAACTGGGGGTATCTCAGTTTTCCGCGTTAAGAAGCAAATCACCCCAAGGAGGCGTAAAGGGACACTATTAATCCCCCCCTGAAAACACACATCCCCTTGAAACGACATCGAAGCTCTCTGAGAACGTGGCTTCCTTGTCGCTGGCAAGTCTCCCTGAACACAAGCGCGGCCTTGGGAACGAGGTTTAGGGGTTCCAAAATTGCGGCAAAGCGCGGAAAAAGGAGGCTCAGGCTCAGGGTTGGCGTCTGGCGTTTGCTTGGAGGATCGTGGCAGTAACTAGGGTCACAAGGAAGAAAAGCATACTTAAGCACTACATTGAAACCAAGCTGACCTGGCCTTCCAAAGCGCCCGGTACAGCTCTACGGCAGGGACCGCAGACTTAGGAAGTCTGGTTGTAAGTACCTTAGACCGGGGTTGTTCATACTGAAACTTCTCATGGTGCACCGCGGGGCATTCAGACGCTAGAGGCGAAGGCCACAACAGAAACGTGCTCGCCTTGCGAAGAGGTCGGGCCAATGCACGCAAGACCCTGCCGGCCTCCGAAGTGCATAGCCGGTAGCCAGGACGAAGCCGACGGCCTGTGACTTAGGCATCAGCAGCAGCACAGCACATGTCGTGCTCCGAACAGCCAGGCCTCTGCCCCTTGCGTCCGCGTGCAGCGCGGCCACCGGGGCAGCGAAAGCCGCGTCGCCGCAGGGCGCGCCGCGACTGCGAGCCTTGGTCGGCCGAGCGATTCGGAGCTTTGGGTGAAGGCGTTGGAGCTGATGTCCTGCGACTTTTCCATACTGAGGAGAGGCAGAGATACAAAAGCTGATCAGGAGGAGTAAGACGCAGTGTTCATGATGAGGATGATGACACCGCTTTTGCTGCTGCCACTGGTGCTGATGACAATAAAAATGAGTGAAAGGACGAAGCTGAGCGTGAGGAAGAGGAGGACGACGATGATGATCGTGATGACAGCCACCTTAAACCCAGTAAGAACTATGTCAACGTGGGTTTAGGATGACTAGCGCTGGGATTCCCTATGCCATGCCTTCAGGGCATTATGAAGGGTCGTGACGGACTGTCTGGATTCTAGATTCGGGGTGTTGGTTCGGGGACTTGTTGGGGCGTAGGCTTCAGGAGTAAGGTTGAGGGCTTAAGGCTTGGGTGAAAGGATAACACAGGCGGCACATCAGCCCTTTCCAACTTCTACATCGCGTGCCAGCAGCGGGGCTACAGCAGTAGCAGTAGCAGCGCAGCAGAAGCAGTCTCTTGGCAGCCTGTCGTAACAGAACACCAACCGTTCCCAAGGTGTTGGTCCGGCTTTCAGCCCTCTGGGACCAAAACGTGTTCTCCCTAAAGTATCCCGGGTAGAAACCCGTGGCCGAAACCACTCAAAAGTCTCTCAGGCTGTGTTGGATCCACCAGGCCAGGATGACATAGTGCTGCTATCCTCGTCGTAATCGTTTTGGAAGACTTGATCGCTGCCGAGGTGCCCAATGTGGTTCGCTGGACGACTCCCCAGAAGTCCACGCCTGCGATGAGCTGAATTACGATTATCAATATTGCTACGATTATTCTTTTGTTCTTGCGTTCATACAAACCATTACTAATGCTGTTGGGAACCCTACAGACTACAGTTTGAAGAGACAAAACAACACGAATCTAGGAACTAAGATGGAAGGCGATGTATGAGCACCAAACCCCCAAACCCTCAAACCCTAAACCGATACATCCCCAAACCTCCAAACCGTAACCCATGTCTGCGGAGGCCTGCCCAGGTTTCGAAACTCAGACTTTAGGACGTCTTGCTTCATTTGGTCGAGTTGTTGGGACTTGGGCTGGGCTAGTGCTGACGAACTTAACTTAAGATAACATAAGATGGATATGCGTTTAGTAGGGTCTTGCAGGGCTTCCTAGGGGCGTTGGGTGTAGCGTTAGAGTTTGGGCTTCGCTGACAAAGGATCATGTCAGAACCGGTGAAACTCCTCCTGATCGCCACCGGGCTCCGAAACCCTAATCTTGACCCAAAACCCGAAGCGCAGGACACCCTAACCTGGAAATAGATCGCCTGGTCATGACATTCGACCGCGGCTACGGCCATGGCCATGGGAAAAAGCGCTCCCCACTGTGATCTATGGGTTTTTGCACTTCGGGTGCTTTGGGCTTCAACAATCGTTGGCTGGCATTATGTGGCTTCACCCAACATCACATGGCTGTCGAACAGGCATTTACGAAGCACGCGTATCTTGCCGTACTGCATGGTCCGGACTCCCACTGGTCAGCATCCTACATGTAAGGAAATAGTTGTTGGACAGCAGTCGGACTTCTGGCAATGGTGACGCGAGCTATTTCTGCTGTGTTGACACAACTAAGGTTTCTGCTATCGTCCCTAAGGCATATGGCTCGTAGCAGCTGAGTGCAAAGGATTCCGAAACCAAAGCTATGGAGCGCAAAGAACAGTGCACAGCTGCATCTGTTTGGCTGGGCAAACACTTGTATCTGAGCATGTATGTATGCATGCATGGGCGTATAGATACATGTGTATGCATATGCATACATGCATGCTAAAGTAGATGTGTGTTCTAGCCATGGGCGGTTCAACCCGCCGTCCACGAAGCAGATGCTGAACCCTGTCAGAATAAGCGAAGGTGCAACCGATCCCGAGTGCCACCAGAAACCCAAGCCTCTAAGCCCAAAAACTCTACACCCGAAACTCCAAGCCCGAAGCTCTAAAGCCTAAACTCTGAACCCTCGACTCGACTCAGACCAGCAAGCTCCCGGAAACAGGCCACGGGGAGGCCCGAAATGATCATCCGCCTGAGGCTAAAACCCGGCAGTCCTCAAAAGTACCTCCACAGGAACCTCGAACCATAGCGGCCAACAACAACAACAAAGTCTGTGGGGAATATAAAATACCATAACTGCAAGGGCAGTATAAGCGTAGATCATGCCCCCAGATTTGGGCAGGCTCTCCTGCTACGGTTTTGCAACCGAAGTAGTGGCCGGTAGTGTCGCTGCCTGCAAGCACGTCTTCAGCATGCGCCCGTAGAAGCAACGACGAGTTGCAGGCCCCACAATCCAGGTTGTGGTTAGTTAATTGTTCTTCAACATAGTAGCTTCGGTTTGGTTGCTCGAAACTGCCGCGAAGCCCTGCTTCGGATCCTTGTTCATGTCAGCTCTCTAAACTCCTTTCAAGACATTGAACCTCCGACCAAATCCACAGACGGATCCTGTATTTGGGATATGTGGAGCCCTGCAAGGAGGAACGAGAATCTTTAATTGGAAACACTTTTGTAGGAAAATCACTAGAGCCCTGGTAGAATCCCTTCCGGGAACCTTTTTAACACCAAAATCAGGAACTACTTCAGCCCCAGTTTCAGAAAGTAGGGGTCCCTGATATAGACCCCTACCACGTAGTAGGACAACCAAACTCAGGAGCCACTACAGCCCTGTATCTTAGAAAATGACGTATCGCTGTTTTTGGATTTCTCACCACCCCAAACCGTAAACCCTAAGACAGTAGCTGAGGAGCATCGCAGCGCTCCGTGCGATGCGCGTGCCCTCGAGGTGGCGGGTGCCGCGCGCCAGGTGCTCCTCTTGGTCTAGGGATACCGTTTAGGCTTATCGGGTTTCAAAGGGTTTTCAAGGGTCCCATAAGGGTTCAGGGCCAGTTTAGGCTTCGTGGCTTTTGAGGATCTTAGGGCTTGAGGATCCTATGTGGGATCTCCAGATGGGGCTTTGGGGCTTTAGACCGAAGACCCCGCTGTCAAGGATTCCAGCGCTTGGGAGCTAGCGGGTTTTGTTATGCCGAGACAGTTCCACTTGAGTTTCGGGTGCCCAATACTGCAAACCTTCGAGAATGGTAAGTACAACGAAAAGTGTGACTTGTTTCTTAGGTCCTTCGGGCTGAGGTTTCGCGATTTGAAATTGGCTTCTTGTCCCCCCTTGGTCTGAGAGTGTCCCAGCGAGGGTCCGCTTCACAAGGGAGAGTTTGCTTTGCTAACGAAGCAAGGATGTCTTCTACATGATGGGTTACTGGTTTGCATAATAATAAGGGAATATTCGCCCACCGTTCAGGTAACTGGAGCCCGAATGTAAGGAATAAGGATCACTGAGCAAAAAATATTCCAATTACCTAGCCGTAGACCGACTCTTACGCGATCGCAGCTTTGCTCCAGGGAATCCAGGGATAGCGCACGCGTTGCCACTTTCATCACACCAACAGCAGCAGAAAACAAGCGTCGACACAAAAATCATCGCAGAGACGTCGCAAAGGCAATGCAGCCCCAACCACAGTAACAGCAAGAACACTTGCAGAAAACGAAGCCAGAGCAGGGTTCGTAAAATCGATGGTCCCCCAAACCTGAACTTCAAATTCAAATCCTCAAACACTGAACATGATGATAGCAGCCGCCGACGTAGTTGGTTTAGTAGTTGGAGTAGAAGGAGTAACAGGAATAGGAGCAGGAGTATTTGTAGCAGTGAGAAGCACAAACCAGAATTAAGGAGTAAGGCAAGCTTTCCGACAAGATGATGACCACCATAAAAGCCCTGTGAAACTCTTACAAACCAAGAAACACCCGGAGAACCTCTTCCTTCAAGAGGCCTCAAGAGGTAATATGAAGGATCCCTTTATCTAAGGGATCTTGTTTGGGATTCCCCCCACCTACCGTTATCCAATTCTAGAGCCTGCAAAAACCCAATAGATTCAGTGTAAAACCCTTTTCAAACTTGAAAACTTAATTTAAAAAGACAGTCTAATTCATACTCCTTTTTCAAACACCCATTCAAAAAAAAACAACCTTTGTGGAAGCCGTTCTCAAATCCGCACGGAACCCTCGCGTTCAAGCCCTATCCCTTCAACAAGCGAGGCATAGGTTCCTTGAAGAGGCCGACTTCCCGCACGGTTTCGGAGCGGAGGCTCTGCCAAACCTGGCGGAGGGAAGCAGAAAGAGCCTTCGGACCATGGTACTGCCAAAGGGACTTACAGGCTTTTTTACCAGGTTTCGCAGGTGAGGTGTTATCAATGTATAATGCGGTTTTAGGAGTTGCTACATGGGTCCTATAAGGTACCGTTAGGGATTCAGGGCTGAAAAGCAGTGGCAATATCAATGACAGATCGAAGCCCTCAGATGTACGTTTGCTTCGAGAGCAGGGTTTACAGTAAACACCTGTAACAAGGCTTGAGGGTTCAGGTTGCTTTGACTCGAGCTAGACACTATCCCTAGCTGCGTCCCGACTTCCCTCAAGCAAAGATGGCTGTTGCGACTTCAAATTACCAAGGCCACAGACGAGTAGAGATCCCTCTCCAAAACCAGGGTTGAATCGAAAAGCACACCCCCACAGCATGATACACTTCGGCCGTAATGAAGTCCCTATATAGGTACTTCAAGGTGCGGGGACCCCGATAGCCCTCCACCACGAAACCCCCGTTGCCGGAATACTTTTTACAGGGGTCTCTTAGTCACAGGCTGGGGCACTTCTCGTTCTTTCCATCCCCCGTTCGCTTCTTCATAGCCCAGTACGGCTGTTCAGTACTGGGCTGTGAACAACAGGGCACAGGGAATCTTCATATAGATCCGAAATATCAAGATCCTTATTGCAAAAAGCCCTATATTCAGAGGCAGGGGCCGTTATAGAAGGGGGAACCGAGGATTTTGTCTTCGATATTAAACCCCGCCCTTATTTTCTCGAACCCCCTTAGTTAAGCTTTGCAGTATTATCCCCCTATAGTAGTCCCTATCTAATTCTAGTATAAAATAGCTCAAGGTTATTGCATGTGATCGATAGGCCATCGCCGGTCGCGCCTTCTCCTGCGACTCCAGGATCTGTTTGGCAGCCTCTGCCGGCAATTTGTTGCCAAGCTGTGCTTCATAAGTAATTGCTTGAACGATCCGAGGATCTAGCGAGTGAGCTGTTGGGCTTCTCTGGGTGACGGTTCTCAGTAAGGAGTGAAGCGCGTACGAAATTAGGGAGTGCTCTTTGTAAAGCTTCGGCTTCAGGGTTCGGGGAACGGCCGCAGACCATACTTCGTCTCTGTGAAGCATGGATGCGAGCTTCCCATGATCGAAACAGCCCGCAGCCCTGAAAACTGACATAGTCGGCATCAAGGGGTACGCACAAACTTGGATTTCATACTCTGAACAACAGCGCCGGCTTGTCATGTCAAAGCTTTGCTGAGGCCTCCCAATGCAACAACGAAGCCAAAGCTCTGAAGTCCAACTATGACTGAATACAGCATACAGCATATAACTTAGCACCAACACCACACACTTCAAAATCTGAGTCTTGAACTGCAAAGTTCAATCGGCTTCAAAGAGGCGAAATTCTCGCAACCTTATTGAAATCAATCTTCGCCACACCCGTCTACAACGCTACGTGCCCTCCTAACAGTACAGCACGCGGAAATTTCCCATAATCCGGCAAGGGCCTTGAACCTCTTTCCCAGCCCCCAAAACCCCCCACAGCTGCAGGGCAACGCAGCCTCAACACCATTGGTGCCTGTTCGCAGTGCTGCAGTGAGACACACTTGAGTTTTGGTGCGGCTGGAGGACGTTGAGAGGGTTTTGGTGCTGAGAGTGGGAGCAGAAGCAGGCGTAGTAGATGAAAGCGTGATAGTAGCAATAATGGTCGTGATACAGAGTAATATACATGAACAACATTAAAAGTAGCAGCAGTAGCAGTGTAGCAGTGTAGTAGAGTAGCAGTGTAGCAGTGTAGCAGTGTAGCAGTGTAGCAGTGTAGCAGTGCAGCAGCAGTAGCAGTAGCAGTAGCACTAGCGGTAGCAGTAGCAGTAGCAGTAGTAGTAGTAGTAGTAGTAGTAGTAGTAGTAGTGGTAGTAGTAGTGGTAGTAGTAGTAGTAGTAGTAGTAGTACTAGCAGCAGCAGCAGGGCGGCAGCAGTAGTACTCG